TCCCTCAGCCCCTCTCAGGGCTCCGGGGGTCCTGCAGCCCCGCGGAGGGGAAGGTGGCCCTGCGGTTCGTCACCCCCGCCGTCCTGGCCGTGTTCGCCCTGGCCCTTTACCTGCACGCGCAGCAGGTCGAGTCCACCGCCCGCCTCGACTTCCTCTGGAAGCTCCAGGTAGGACCAGGGGCTGGGAACCACCCTTTTCCTGCACCCCATGACCGGGACCAGCCCTTTTCCCTTCACCCCAGGACCAGAACCGACCCCTCCCCGCGACCCAACCCCGGGGTGGCCCCGTGGCCCCCCTGGCAGCCCCCACACGGGTCTGTTCCCCGCAGGCAACGGGCGAGAAGGAGGAGATGGAGGAGCTCCAGGCCTACAACCGGCGGCTGCTCCACAACATCCTGCCCAAGGACGTGGCCGCGCATTTCCTGGCGCGGGAGCGGCGCAACGACGAGCTCTACTACCAGTCCTGCGAGTGCGTGGCCGTGATGTTCGCCTCCATCAGCAACTTCTCCGAGTTCTACGTGGAGCTGGAGGCCAACAACGAGGGCGTGGAGTGCCTGAGGCTGCTCAACGAGATCATCGCCGACTTCGACGAGGTGCTGGGGGGGGGCGAGGGGCGACGAGGGCAGGGGGGCGCGGGAGGTGTGGAGGTGAAGTGCACGGGGTGCTGGAGGGGCTGTGGAGCAACGTTCTTGGAGCCACGGGAAGGGGTGCAGGGGGTGCTGGAGAGACTGTGGAGCAGCATGGATGAGGATGAAGTACAGGGAGTATGACCACGGGGTGCTGGAGGGGCTGTGGAACAGCATGGATGAGGATGGGGTACAGGGAGTACGACCACGGGGTGCTGGAGGGGCTGTGGAGCAACAGTTTTGGAGCCTTGGGAAGTGGTGCAGGAGGTGCTGGAGAGGCTGTGGAGCAGCATGGATGAGGATGGGATACAGGGAGTACGACCATGGGGTGCTGGAGAGGCTGTGGAACAGCATGGATGAGGATGGGGTACAGGGAGTACGACCACGGGGTGCTAGAGGGGCTG